AAACTTTTTTGAAGAACAAGAGATTTGTTTGTCTCCCACATGTGCGAGGAATTCAGCTCTGCACCTCTTGGCTGAGAATACAATTCTAAGTTTTCCACGAGGGAATGAGTCATCTTCTCTAGACAAGCGTCAGAGATATTTTGGAAATTCTACTGATGTTACTGAAACACATAATTAGCAGGCCCATAATACAATAATTCCCATATGTATAACAAACTCCAGTTCAAATGTGCCAAAAAACTGTAATATGTTCATAATTAAAAACAAGATTAATTACCAGTTAATTTCTCCTTTCATTATTCTCTGTACAGTTCACACAACTGGCTTGACAAATAGTATCCACTACCTTTGCTGAGACTCAGATCTTGCTTATTTTAACCCTTCAAGTAATTAAGGAAGTGAATGTGTTTCTCCATGTTCTGAATACTCTTGTATTTGACCTTTAGTTCCTCTTCTTTTTTCCTTTGTTTTTTTAAAGAAAAAAGCAGAAAAATCCTGTCATCATTATTCAATGATCTACTGCTAAATTTTAGGAGCAAGTTTTGAGGAAGCCAAGAAGTTCCAATAAAAAAAAGTATGGTCTAATATTTTGCATATAAAACACGTTGAAATGGTCCTACAACAATACACTGCAATACAGTAAGACTTTAAAAATTGAACTAAACTGAGCTGCCATGATTGTATGGTTAACATTTAACCATGACTCAAAGGTTTAAGATATAAGAATGTTTTCGCCTCAGTTTTAACTCGATGGGACTAATAAATCATACTCAGATTCTAATCACATGAGCTCAATTCATTCATGTCTAAGAAATGCAGAATCCTGATCAAGCATTCAAACAAAAGTCAACAACAATGTTGCCCCATTATTTCACCACCTTACTAGCTTTATCTGGATCATCCTCCAAACTAAGCAGGATGCAGAGCATGAAAAATGGCAACCATCAGCAACACTACCAAGTTTTTAGATCAAAGCATGTCAGCTGCCAAAGCTATTTATCAGTTCAAATTATTTATCAGCTATTCACCAAATAATAGCATATCTAAAGATGAATTAGCATAATACGCTGTGTGGAGTTGCTTTCTAAGGTGGTCAAGATGATTGACTGGCACTGATTGTAGAGACTATGTTAACCTTTTTTAAACTAATCCATCAGCCACCATTCTTTTTGAGGAACAATTCAGAATGTGATGACATATAAAATCCCCTCTAAATTAGTACTGGGCTATTTGATAAACCAGTGTCTGTCTTGTGAGCATGCCTAAACATTAAGATTTTTTTCAGAGAAAGTTCTTGCCCACCTGTAAAAAGAACAACACAAAACCAAGAATAAATAAAATGGTCACAGCTTTATTAATTCAAAAAGTGTGGACATCACATGTAAACTGGATAGCAAATAGACAGTAGCACATGTTAAGTATTTTCCAGCTTGTTTACATAGTCAGGTCGTTTTCTAACTCTACTTACCTGACCTGAAGACAGACAAGGAATTCTTTCTTGTTCCACTTCTTTCTGGGAAGAACCTTCCCATCCAAAAGCAATGAACTGTAGACATGTGCAGCCTTCCTGACTTGTAGTCTTGAAGGTCCTTACCAAATCATCTTAACCAGTGGCCTTCCAACCTTTTGGGCACCAGGGACTGGTGGAGAGAGGTTTTTCCATGGACAGGAGGGGGTGTGGTTTTAGTGCAGCCTGTATCCCGTGGATGGGGCTTCGCTTATTTGCACGGCCCAGTTTCTGGCATGCCATGAACTGGTGCAGGTCCATGGACTGGGGTTGGGGACTCCGATTTAAACAATAGCTAACCTGACTGGAGCTTCCAAAGTGTCTGACTAAAAGTGATTCAAATGAAATCAGGAAGGAATACGTTTCCTCAAAGTTAGTCCTACTCAGCTCTCAATAAAGGAGAAGTAGCAAATGCCTTAGTACAAATGGAGGAAGAAGAAAAGTTATGCAGAAAAAACCTGGAGGGAAAGTGAACAGTCCCTGCCAAAGGAAGAATAGCTGGGCTTTGTGATAAACTCAGCCACACGCTCAATGAGAACCCATTAATATGTTCTCCCTGAAAAGGACACCGTTGTGGGACCAAGATCCTCTCAGTCTCACCTGCTATCATACTCACTTTTACTAAGGATGCAGAAGAAGGATGCTCAGAATTTTCCCTGACAAAGGTAGTCAAAGGAGCCTCTTCTCCACTATCATCGAGGTTATGAGTCAAGTTCTGAGCAGTGGATGCTGCAAATATTTTTGTTTGGGAATATTCTCCATGTGTAGGCAGCGGGATCCACAGAGTGTTTCTTACGATACTGCTACAAGTGTTGTTTTCTACAGAGTCGTGGTTAGCTCACCTCTTTCAGTAGTGATTTGCTGGCCCCATGTTCTTGCAGCAGAATCAATATTTACACTATATTTTGCAAGTAATCATTATTCATTGTCCAACTTAGAATTATATCTGTACAATGGTGTCCTTTGTTCAGTACCCTGAGGTGATCTGGTTACAGTTAATGTTGCTATTAAATAACTGAAAGGAGTCACTATTACCAAAGAAAAGGAAAATTGTTCTGAGAGACTTCCATTTTGCCAATGACCGTGCCCTGAATGCTGGCTCAGAGCCAGAGATGCAAGCCAGTATGGACACATGTAAAGTTTTGGAGTCACTACCAATATTCAAATTACCGAGGACATGCACCCGGCCTGCTCCTCATGCATCATACATAGGATCCAAAATCACAGTCAAAAGGCAGAAACCAAAAGCAGCGGACCAGTTCAATTATTTTGGTAGAAGCCTCTACTAAATAGCAGCTAATATGGAAGTCAACTGCAGAATAGCAAAAGCAAGCTCTGCTCCATTGTGTGGGAATGTCAAAGAATGAGTGAAGCAGCAAAACTGAAGGTCTACAGCACTGAAGTACTCACTACCCTTCCGTATGCCTGTGAAATGTGGACTGTATATTGAAGGCATGCAAAGATAGCTTAATCATTTCCACCTGACTTGTCTTTGCAGTATATTAGGCATGAGATGGCTTGATAAAATGCCAGATACCAAAGTTCTTTCTAGAGCAAGTCTACCATCAATCCACACACATCCATTGAGTAGACGGATCATCTGTATGTCAAACAAGCGCATACCCAAAGAGGTCTTTTCTGGGGAATTTTCTGATGATAAATGCTTGCATGGAAAGCAGAAGAAACATTACAAAGATACACTACACTCCCTGAAGTCATTTGACATAGATATGACCACCTGGGAAACTTTGCACGCAATCATTCCATCTGGCATAGCTTCATTCATAAGGGCTGTCAAATTTGCAAAGTAAAGCACACTGCAAAAGCACAACGTAAGTTGCCCTCAGTCACTTTGGATAGTGAGATGGACAGCAAATAAATAAATACATACATACATACATACATACATACATACATACATACATACATACGAGCTGTGCAAGTCTAAAGGCCTCAATGCAATAATTGTCATGTCTACACATGTTTGCCCAATGTGTGCTAGGACATTCCATTCCCGAATTGGCCTGACTGTCATCTTCAGATACATCACATTTAGTTTGAATGTGACTGATGGGGTTGAGGTCTTCATCAATGACAATGGACAAAAACCAAAACATTCAACATCCTCTTTGGTATCTACCATAACCATAAAGAGATGCAAACATTTACAAAGAGACAAGAGATGATTTTATGTTCTCATGCTTCTAGATATAGAAAATATTTCATTGTCTCTTGGGGAGAAACAAGATTCAAACCTGAACAGATTTTTAACAGGCCTATCGGTTCCTTCCCAACATGTATTCATGATTTAAAATAATGTTATTCTCCAAATCATTTCAATAATGCTATATAGTTAACAACTTGGTGGAGTTCCATCCCCTAAAACAGGGAATGTCTGTATAAAGCAGATAAAACTGATGCTATATAACAATTCTAGAAGTCTGAGGCCAGATGGCTGCATGGTATGTATTTAAGATCTGCAGTATGGAAAGCAGAAAAGTAGTTCTGGATGGTTGAGGATTTAACAATCTCACAAAACCTTTTAATTATATCAGTGAAAGTCTCTAGCCTCACTGGCTGCAGAGAAAACCTTGAATGCCCTCAGGAAAGGACAGCCCAAGGCTAAGAAACCAATGAGTCAGAGGGAAGTTGCTTCCAAGTTCAGCTAATTATTAAGTGTATACTTCATTATCCTTTTGCAAGATCTTTAAACGGTTCCTTTGTACAGCAATCAGAGCTCCATGGAAGTTAAGATTCCCTGTCATGTGACAGAATTATAGAATGTGGCATTTGGGGAAGAAGCCCAAGTTTCATTTTTAATAAAGAGTCCATGTTTTGCCTCAGGTCCAAAGGGTGTTTTTGGTAAATCCAAAACTCTGCATCTTCTTACTGGCAAATTGATTGGGGGGGCTTAATTTATTCTCTCTCTCATTTTCTCTTTCCTCTCACCCTTCTTCTGTCCATCTGCTTCAAGTGGTTTTTAGAATTTTCTCAGGTGTTGTTTTTTCCTTTTTTCCTCAAGACAGAAGAATGTAAACATTCAAGGTCAAGAACTAACCTTTGTTATCTTTATGTAGGATGTCTATATACTGCCACAAATCTATTTGGAAACCAGAGTTGTTGTTGTTTTTAAGTAGATAAATAAAATAAGTATTAAATAAGAGAAAAAAATCTAGTTCACCATAATAATAGGCCACTGCTAATCATTTACTGTTCCGTGTGGATTAGCACCATGCCATGGGACAAATATTGCTTTCTGAGTTCTATCTAAAAATGTCTAATATCTTGTTCTCGAGTGTCTGTTTTCCTTTCCTTTCCTGGTTTTGGAGCCCTCCTTCTGACCTTAGCCTTATGATTTATCATTTATTTTCTAGGAGATGGGGATAAAATTCTGACTTACACTTCTGGTTTTAACTCAAATGCTCCTTTTCCATCCTAATAAGCACAATAGAGTTATTCTTCAACAAATATGGAAACAATGAAAGCCATATGTGCAATTTGCTCGTACATTTTGTCTTTAATTCAAAGAAACCTGCTGAGAATCACTCCCTTCATAAGTGACAAATGACTCTTGGGACAGGAAGATGTAAGAACTATAATACTCAACAAATACACTCTAATGGAAAAGTCATAAGATGGGGTCATTTTTTTTCTCTTTTAGTCATGTATAAGCTTTCAAAGGAGAAAATTAGGATAGGGTTATTACAGCATTAAGAGCAGATAATTATAAAATATTTTACACAAGGGTGCACAAAAGGGCCTATGCTTGAAACAAACTTCCAAGTGTTTTGTGCTCGAAACAGAATCTAAGGTTCTGAAAATTTTGTTTCAAGGTCAAAATAAATTCTGTTCATTTCGAAACCTAATTCTGGCCAGTCCAAGCCTCCTTGTTTCTCTTATTCCAGGCTGTTCTGAGCATCATGATTACTTTTTGTTCTTTGATGGGTGATTGTCTTGGTTTTTTCTTCCAATTTTCCTACAAATTTTTCTCCAATCTGCCCCGTCCCGCAGAAAAAATAGCATAAAAATCACATTGTTGGGTTTCTTTGTTGTTGGTTTTTTTTTTTTTTTTGACAGATTAGGGTTGAAATTCAGTAGTGCTCACTGCAGCCTACATGTTTGACTTCTCTTGATGCAATCAAAGATGCACTTAGAAATGGTAGGAAAAAAGGGATCCCGTGTGAAGTAGAACTCTACATTCATAAGAACAGAACTCAACATGATGCTGAAAGTGGCATGAAGTTTTACCAACAACATAATTTGGTATATCAAGTGGATGGAATGGAATGAATACACATGGCTTATATAAATAAAAGACTGGCACCAGAACACTATACACACAAGTAGTTTGAGCCTCCCTTAAGGATTTCTGCGTGTTTTCTGCCACTAACGTTTATAATACTTCTTAAATCTTGACACATCTAAAAAAAAAATAGCTGAAATACACTGAAGGGAACTAGAAATACAAGATTCCTGCTTCTCTCTATTATCACTGAACAGAAACTAAGCTTCAGGGCTGTCTTTGAGGTTTTGCTCCATCTTTCAACCTGCTCGACAAAAATGTTTACAAACACTTTGTGGTAGGAGTTTTTTCGTTGATGCTGTCTTCAAAATCCACCAGTGAAAGGCCTTGGCTCCATTCTGGTTCTTCTTTTAAGTAGCAAGTAATCATCTGAAATAGAAAGAGAATCTGTACTGAGCTCTTTTCATTTGTTTGTGACTTACTCCACCAGAGGTGAGAAATCTGGCCTTTTGTGTAAAACCTCATCAGCCAGTCAATCACATTCCCTGTGTAAACTCAGGCATGAGTTCACAGGACAATTAATAGTGAAGGAACATGAAAGATTTTGTTTCGGGCTAGCTTTGAGGAGGATACTGTAATAAATGTCTACATTTTCTTCCTTGGAATCATCTCATTTCAACAGAATCCAGATTGGAATAGACAGTATCAATGATGAGTTGTTCTTATGTAAGTATAATTGATGCCTAGGAAGTTAATAATATAATCTTCTGCGTGTCTCCTTTCTCCTCTCCCCCTCTGACATAAACTCCTGACCTTCTGATTAAAGATACGCAAAAGATCAGACAGGAAATAGATCAGAAAGGAAATAGATCAGAAATAATTCAGTTCCTTCATGATTTCCACTACATCAGCAAGGCTCTCAGGATTCCAACCACTGGACACAGAAGCACAGAATGAGACAATTTGCCACAGCCAACTCACGATGGCCAACTCGTCCTGCTCAACTCACCATGGCCAACTTACCACAGCCAGCTCACCACAGCCAGCTCAACGCCAGACAAGTCACCATGGGAGGCTGAGGGACAATTAACAATTCCATTTAATTATTTAAAATTATTTTTAAAATTATTTTAATTTTTGCCATTCACATTTCATTTTGTCCCTTCTTTGGCATTCTTTCTTGTGGCGAGTTGGACTGTAGCCATTGGCCATGGCGACTTGACCTTTGGGGAGTTGGCCATGGTGGGTTGGCTGTGGCAAGTTGTTGTAGACCCACAGAAGTTGTCGTAGACCCACAAGCCCACCCACCCACCCGCAAACAACAAAAATAGCATACTACTAAAATTCTGAAAACTTAGGAAATAGGGCTGGGGTAAAAGTCTGAGAGCTCAATTCAGTTCTGGTGCCTAGCATGTTCTTAGCTTTTAAAAATGTTTATCATCTATGCCAGACTCTGGCTGGAAGATTTCAGTTCTTATTATTTTTTTAAAAAATGAGATATGTAACATATTTGGGGGATGGAGAGAAACAGACACTCAACTGCTCTGCAGCAGCTTTCTCCAATTTTGTCTCCCGGTCCCCTCCCCTCCCCCACCCCAGCACAGTATAATCAGGTTTGGAGGAAGACTATTTGTTCAGGATTCATCAAAACCTCATTATCAGACTTTCAACCTGTTCAAACAATGAATCAGGGGCAGATCAGTTTGAAGCCAATTCCACAGAACTGAAGATCCCTTGCTCCCCTCCCTCCCTTTTCATTTTGGCAAAAGCCCCATGCACTGCCTAAGCCTAGCGGAATTAAAAAAAAAATGCCCCACCCCCCACTTCTTTGCTTTCACTCTGTTTCAATAAATCAATCCCAAATCAACGTCTCCTCCTAAGCCTGGGAGACTGACTGGGGTTTAGCCTGTGAGCTTTTCCCTCCAGACAACAATTATGGGGAGAAACATCTGAATAAACACAGGATCATTTACTTAAAGAATTGACAGGCCTTCTACTTGAACTGCTTGAAATTATTTGATGCCATTTTTTTTGTGTGTTGGTTTTTTTCCCCCCATAGAAACATATAATTACAGTCATTTGCCAATGGCTAAGGAGGAGGGATTAAGAGAAGCTTCTGCAGGCACATATGCATGCATACATAAACATCTTCTTGCCTATAGACACATGGCATGGTTTGCAAAGGTTCCATCTAAATAGCCACACTGTGCCTTGATACAACTGCATTTCTTTGATCTGGTATTTCCCAAGATCGGGGACGCTTAGAGGTAGCTATTTCTCTCTTAGATTTGGCTGGGTCAGGATGGAGAACTAATCCCCCTGCCCATATTTCCCATGTGCCAAATTAAGTCTGGGAAAGGGAAGATACATCCTCTCCTTCCAACGGTCTCTTCCTTCATTCAAACAGAAGCCGGGAGTAATTGCTCCCAGCCTCCCTCCAAGGAAAAGGTGGCAGCTTTGAAGTGGCATCTCTCCATTGAGTCAGTGTCATTGTGCTTCTGCCTTTCCCAAACAAGAGGAGAACCAGTGGCTTTGGGTTTGAGGTGTTGTGGACCAAAGGAAGATGCCTGGTACGTAGATAGGCACAGGCTCTTCCTTCCTGGCTGGGCTATTTTTCATTTTATTTTGACATGAGGAGAAGACACTCTCTTAATGAAGAATGAAAGTCCTGCATTCATTCTTCACAGACTTTTAAGCTGATCAAAGGAAAAGCAGTGAGTAAGAACACAAAGCAATAATTATCTATGGCACCAATTAGGGAAGAAACGGCTTGTAGATGCTTTGAGAATGTGTATTAAAGAATGTATCTGAGTGCATTCAGTATGCAGGGACTCCAACCTACTCTCAAGGACTGGGCTTCTTTCCAATATTATGAACGAATTTCATTTCCATTTCTTTTTCAAAAAGGCCATTTAAAAAGCAAATAACCTAACCTTGTTTTAACTGATGCATCCTCCACCGTTATGTTATTAACCCTCGTGCTGTTAGAGTAATGCTATTTTGGAAACTTTAGAAGATTATAAATCATGTGGCATTCTTGTACCATCCTGAATATTAGGTAGCTGACTCCTACCTGGAAGGTAAGAGTAACCTTCATTGACTGCAGTTCAATGAGATTGACAGCCTAGGCCCTAGAAGGTTACCTTTACAAGAGGGATATACAACTGCAATCTGAGCCACACACAACTCCCTTCAAGCATTGGAATAGCTTCTAAAGCACGGATCTCCAACCTTGTCAACTTTAAGACTTGTGGACTTCAACTCCCAGAATTCCTCAGCCAGCTTTGCTTGGCTTGAAGTTCACAAGTCTTAAAGTTGACAAGGTTGGAAATCCCTATTCTAAAGCCATGTGATAAGACATGGAAGTTATTCAATATATTGGAGGAAATGTTATCAAATATATTTATTTTCAACTTATTTAGCTGTTGCTCTAGTCCTCACTGTGTTTGTGACCATGTTCTCCACCCATGGCCAAATGTTTTAATTCACGCTGGCTAGGGAAAACTGAGAGTTGGAATCCACAATCTTAAAATTGCCAAGTTTGAGAAACAGTTGCTTTAACTGATGCAAGTGCCACCCAATTTCTAACATAAAAGCTAAAGGTGACTTTCAGGCTAAAATGGATTTCCAGAGAACATGAAGATGCACACAGGTGGTGATGGCTGCTGGTCATTTTTTGAACGTGAGTACTGTAGCGAATGAAAGACTTCAACAGCAGCCACAATTTTGATTCCTGCAGTCGTGATTGCCAACTGTTAGTGACCCTTTCTTCGCCAGGCTTCCATCATCCATAGAAACCAAAAGGAAAATAGCTTAATAGGATTGTCATGTATCCACCAAAGTTTTTCAGATTAACACATCTGATGAATTTGAAGGCCAAGAAAAGATTTCCAGATCATTCTTTGACCAAAGTTCCAAAATTAACAACAACAACAAAACAAAGAACAAAGCCAAGTATTCCAACTTTTTTCTCCTTGTTTGCACCTATTTTCTTAGTTGGACTTAAATTCTATCTAGGCAATTTGTCACCACATAAACCCTATACCCCAGTTTACGTTTAGGAATGGGTCTAGGTCAGCGATCACCAACTGGTGGTCCATGGACTACTGGTGGTCCGTAAGAAAATTTTGGAGGTCTGCAGAAAAAGTATTTGCATTTTTTATATTGCACTAAATCAGGGGTCCTCAAACTACGGCCCCTGGGCCAGATATGTGCAATGAATGTTTGTGTTGCTGCAGAGAGTCTCCCCCTTTGGGGTCTTCTTGTGTGGGTCAGAGGGAGGCAGAAATTCCGACTTGGGGGTCTGGTGCGGGGCTTTGGGCAAAGGCTGGAGGGAAGTGCTGCTGGTGGCAAAGAGCCGGAAGACCTTGTTCTAGTGGGACTGTATCATGGCCTGGAACTGGCTGACCATCTCAGCCTGCTGAGCCTCCAGGCGCCAGTACCTGGCCTTCCACGCCTATACTCCTAGTCCTCAGTGAGGTGTTTCTGCTGAGCCTCCTTCTCGGTCAGATCCAATTTGAACTGTTTTGCCAAAACTTTCTCGTGGTGGCTACTTAGCTCCAACAGCTGCTTCCTATTGGGGCCCTAAGGAGCCTGGGCAGGCAGGCAAGGAGTGGCTGGGAAGGGAAGGGTGAGTAGAGGCCAGCGAGGTGCCCTAGGTGCAAGTGACATTGAGTTGGCCACGCTCACCCAGTCACATGACCACCTAGCCACGCCCACCCAGCCGGTCATTAGGCAGATCATATTAGTGGTCGGTGGGATTTAAAATTATGTATTTAGTGGTCCCTGAGCTCCAAAAGGTTGGGGATCCCTGGTCTAAGTGACTCTCTAGAGTCTCTGTTACATCCAGCTCTTCCCATCTCTAAAATTTAAAGTTTACAATTTAAGCTTACTCAAGCAACACTAAACAAAGTCTTTCAAATCAGAGACATTATAGACTTGCGGATTTTGGTATGGCTTAGTAGAGAACACACCATTGTGTCTTTTTCCACAAACCAGAGTTAAGTGCAATTATTTGGGCCAATTATTTGGAAGGAAAACTCTTCTTAAATTGACATCAAAACCTAGGCTTGCTCTGAAAATTTATTCCCAGAGATCTTTATAAGCTAAAAAAACTCTCAACATCTAACATGTGAAAGGAGGATAATACTGTGACATTCAAGTTCTGTACTTTATCTAAACTAGTCTCCTGCAAATCTGTCTGCATATAACTCTAATGTAAGTCCTCCAGATGATTTTTTTTTCTTTTAATTTATATGCCGCCCTTCTCTGGAGACTCAGGGCGGCTTACAATGCATTAAGCAATAACCTTCATACTTTTGTATATTTATACAAAGTCAGTTTATTGCCCCCACAATCTGGATTTCAAATGATACTGTGAATATCCTTAAAGCACAACCTTACATTTATGTAACTAGCAAGTTTTATGATCGTCCATAAACCTATTCCTTTAATAATGATTTTTAAGATATGATCAAATGCTAACATGGTAGAAGCGTTTCCATCAGCTTCCATGGTTGTACACATTTCAATTGATCAAAGCCAGGGGGGATTTACTCCCAACACTTTGCTTTGACTTTGGGGGTCCAAGGGTTTTAAAACTGAGGCTGAGTCCCATGCTTGCCACTCTGGCTAAAGCCTCTGTTCCCCAGAGTTTGAGTGTAAAAGATACACCATGGAGTTCCTGCCTGCTGGATTGAAATGCTTTTTGTCTAACGGTTCCCATTCATTGCTGTTTTCAGGCTGGTTTACACGAGTGATGGTAACTGGTTCAGTCAATCTGGTTTCCTGGGCTGGCAGGAATAACACAGTAATCTAACCTAGCCACAAGAACTGGATTTGTGGAACGCAAGGCTATACACTTCATCTAGATCAGGGGTCTCCAACCTTGGCAACTTTAAGACTTGTGGACTTCAGCTCCCAGAATTCACTGGCTGAGGAATTCTGGGAGTTGAAGTCCACAAGTCTTAAAGTTGCCAAGGTTGGAGACCCCTGGTAGATAACTTGTGGTTCAGTGTGTTGTGCAAACCCAACCATGGTGCTTCAGGTTCCTCTTTTTCGACCTAAGCACAACCAGCACCTCACTGGATTCACTTCCTCACCTTCCAGGCGCTCAAAATTTCTTGACGTTCATCGGAAAAGGACAGATGTGCTGGAGGTGGGCTGTGATGGTAGGGAAGGAAACAGGCAGGACCAACCTTTCAGTTAAGGGGACAGAAGCCCCGCTTGCCAAGGGAGGCTGCTCTTTATGCTTGTAGGAGAGTAAATGGGGCTAGAATTGATCTGCACGGAGGAAAAAGAGAGACTAGGGGGAAAAGATTCCATTCTTCTTAACATCTAGGTCAGTTAAAAGTCTGCAGAGATTCTCGGTCATCCAGGTCATGGTTGTCCCAAAGCTGCTTTTTTCAGGAGGCAACTGGACTTTCTTGTATTTTCTTTTGAAAACATTTCACTTCCCATCCAAGAAGCTTCTTCAGCTCTGACAGGTCCATTCCCCACTGTCCTGTCAGAGCTGAAGAAGTTTCTTGGATGGGAAGTGAAATGTCTTCAAAAAAAAAAAAAAAAAACCAACAGAAAGTCCAGTTGCCTCCTGAAAAAAAGCAACTTTGGGATCTAGGTAAGTTATTTTCTTCACCGGACCTGATCAAATTGAACCAACGTTCAATGGGGAAAACTGGAAATCGGGTTGATCTTCGAGCGGCGACCCGCGAAAATGAAGAAGAAAGTGGTCGGAAAGTTTGGGGCACCTTCGCGCGCTCCTGGGGAGCCTCGGCCCTGGTCTTCACCGCGACCAAACGAGGGCGGGGATACCATGATTGGAGCCCTGCTCCCCCCGGTCCTGGTCTCCCCCTTTTCGAGGATAATCCTTGGGGGCTCTTGTCCTGAATAGCAAGCCAGCTACGAATGAACTCCAGCGCGAGTCCTGCAACTTCGCGCCGGGGCTCAGTTCTTGCCTTTGCACCACGGCTACCTTCTCAATCGGGATGAGACACCGACTCTTTGGTGGAAATAAGCCTCAGCCAGGATGCCCCTCTCCTCCGGCCGGCCCTCGAGTTGGGCAAGTAGGAGGCCGTTAGAAGATCCTGCATATCGGCCTAGTTGAGTACAATAGGATTTCCACCTCCAGAAGTGGCAAATGAGAGTCCTTCGGGGTGGGATCTGGTGTGCTGTTTACCAACAAGTATCCTTGAGCCGAGTTGTTCTTCACCAACAACTTGCTAATAAACCTGGGTTAAAACACGATTGCGGCGTTCGCACAACGTGCCCAACCCAAATAAATTAAACTATACTGCGGCTCCGTGTGACGGCCTAATGCAAGCAGGCTGCTGACTTTCCCAGCCCACCTGAATCATAGTAACCGGTCTGGCAGCCTATTGCGTAAAAGAAGCCCAGTCACAGTGACTGAAGCAGCGCTGGCTTCCTGGAAAGCGCGCAGGGACGTCTCGTACAAGCACGAGCATCTTGCCAGTCGTTGGGCTGACAATGGGAAAGACACCATTCGCAAATTCAGGCCAATTGGCACGATGACGTCACGAGACGGATGACATCATTCGTCCCCTCCACGGCAGACGCCCCCTACTGGCGGCCTGGAGCATTCTGCACCTACGGTACCTCGGACACTCCAGGTTCTCGCCTTCCCTTTTCCCGCTTCACCTACAAACGTAAAACTTAAGAAGAGTAGCGTTGCAGCCCTCCCCTTAAAAGTCGTGGGAGTTGTTGTCAAATGTTAAAGGAACCTGGTGCTCTCCAACGGCGTTTAGCTATGCCTTCCATTCAACCCCAGGGGTCTTGCCTCCAAGTTGGAAAAGATTGGGAAGGATGTGTTGGTATTGTGAAGGTTCTTCTCCCTATAGAAGAACATTAGAAAAGTCATGATGTACAAATTTGGGGAAAACAACATCAGAGGGGGAGGGAGGGGGAGGAAGAGAGGGCGAGAGAGAAAGAGAGGGAGGGAGGGAGGGGGAAGGGGAGGGAGGGGGAGAGAGAGAGAGGGAGGGAGGGGAGGAAAAGAGGGGGAGAGAGAGAGAGGAAGGAAGAAGAGGGGGGAGAGAGGGAGGGAGGGGCGAGAGAGGGAGGGGAGGAGAGAGGGAGAGAGAGAGAGAGGAAGGGAGAGAGAGAGGGAGGGAGGGGCGAGAGAGAGAGGAAGGGAGAGAGAGATGGAGGGAGGAGGAGAGAGAGGGAGGAGGGAGGAAGAGGAAGGAAGAGAGAAGGGGAGAGAGGGGGAGGGAGAGAGAGAGGAAGGGAGGGGGAGGAAGAAAGAGGGGAGAGGAGGGAGGGAGGAAGGGAAAGAGTGGGGGAGAGAGAGAAATCAATGCGCCTCACCTTGTTTTGCTTTAGATCCAAGAGCAGAATAGAAACACTTGTCCAACACTTTTGTAATAAGCCTTTTTGTGGATATGTTTTGTGGATAAGTAGGGAAGGGAGTTCCCCTTCCCTACTCCCCCCCCCCCCCCACTTTCTCTTTATATTGCTGGAAACATCCATTGCTTTCAACCGGATCCCTGCATGGCTTTTAATTCCCCGCGGCGCCTCCTTCCAGAGAGCTTTCCAAGACAAGCAGCCAGTTCTCAGCTTAAGGGCTTTGGAGTTCAGAACACGCCTCCCCATCACCACCGCTACCTCCTAAAGATGAGGTGAAAGATACCTGCAAACTTTCAAACTTTTTCTCATTTTTCCACCGGGAACTTTTTTTAAAGTCCAAATATTCACGTTCAGTTTTTAAGTTCAGATCACATCTCCCCGCTCCCCTGTCTCTCTGTTTTTCTCCCATAAATTAATTTAATTTAAAGCAGATCCCGATCGCTTGCCACTTAAACGTGTATTATGCCCATTGTTGTGTCATTTGAAGTCCTCTCGTGTTTCTGGAGGTCCAAAGTAAAGCACCGGCCTGATTCACACCGGCCTGGATTTGTGTGTGCGGTGTCTACGCCTACGGATTACCCTGTGAGGATTGGAGAACGTTTCCCGCACCCTCCAGACTCCAACTCCCATCATTCTATTCGGAATCTGCATTATTGGGGCTGTCGCCTAACACGTCGAGAGGGAAGCCGGGAAGATAAAGCTGGAGAGCGAAGGCGTTTTCCTGATATATTACAATAATGTTCTGAACCGGCCAACAATAACATGCCGAAGTAGTATTGATGCCCAAGTGGTCCCTTCAACTTATCTAACAAAAGGCTATAAAATTCTTGGGATGGGGAGGGGGGAGGGAGAGAGGGAAGCAGGGGGCTTCCTTTCCAGACGGGAGGGGGGAAAGTATTTGAGAGTCCACCAGCCCATCAATAAAACCCCAGAAGGAACAAACATTTCTAAATTTTCCGATGTTTCCTGACACTCACTGCGGATTCCAGGAAGAGAATAGATTCTCCTTACTAAGTTTTATCCTACTTTCCAATAAAAGTAATCCCAAAGCAGGGATTACTTACCTCTAAGGAGACTTTCGGGGGATTGCGCTCTTCATCTCTCTCCGTGAAACCGAATCAAAATCGACTGACTTAACTCTGCCGGTCACCCCCATTGGTTCCACCGGGAGATGAATAGAAGGCATCCAAAGCTCCATTTGGGTCCCCCCTTTTTTTCAGCACCCTCCCATCGGTGCTCTCCGGAGAGGTGGAACTACGACTCCCATTAGCCTGCTTGCATGGAGATGAGGGGAGTAGTAACCCAAGGCAACTGAGCGCCACCGAATTAGAGGCTCCCTTTTCCAGGCGAGCCGACAGCTATGCTGCATCCCTTTCCGTCTGCCTCCCCCTCCCCTTCCCCAAAACGGGAATGTTCTTAAGATCCCCCAGCCTGGCGCTTCGGAAGTTTAAACAATGAATCCCCGTTTGGGTGAGGGTTCCTTCTGGGCAGGGGGAAGGCGAGAGGGATGGGTGGGAGGGAAATAGGCAAATGTTCCCCTGGAAATTCAACATCGAAATGCCACCAGGTTCTTCTTACCCATTTGAAGAACGGAGTTTTTCTCATTTATTCCGAACCGGGTTTTGGCGGCGGGGAATGAGGTGAAGAGAACAAACCCCGTTGTTTTTTTTTCCAAATATCCAAGCCAAATGCCCGCCCTGAACTCCAGGCGTGCCATCCGATTCCTGGGCATTCAAACCCTGGGCCGATTCGGCAGCCCAGCACCCTTCCACGGGCTCCTTCGGAAGAGCGTCACTCTTGGCTTTCCCCATTCCCAATTCAAAGAAAAGAGTTGTGTTTTTTGTTGTTGTTGTTGTTGTTATTGGATTAACCGAAAAGAGACCCAGGCAGGCCTGGAATGGGAGTGAGGACTTTTTCTCTTACCTCTCTTGGCCTTTGAGACGTCGCATGGCCCCTTTTTCAATAAAATGAATCCCAGCCCCAAAGAAGGATGGACTAGGAAAGATCTCTGTGTTTTGACAATTTGTTTGCCACTTCTCTGTTACAAAGGGAATAAGGCAACTAAGAGATGCTTTGGGGTTTAAGCCCCTCGGAATGGAAGAGCCCTTTCCCCCTTCCTTTCTCTGCTTGCAGAAGAGGCGAAGGGGGAGGAATGTGATGGTCAATGCCTTTTAGTAAGTTCCCTGCTTTTAATAACAACAACGACGGCAACCTCAGGTAAATAATAATAATACCGCTTTCTAAAGCCCAAAGGAGGGCATGCCATGAATGGATAATAACCCTAGCTGAAAAATTCCCTATCTAATTCGATAGTTAGTGCTAGGCAAAAGCTAGCCTTCGTAAATAATATACAAAGTAAGAAACCTAATCCAGCCGGCTAGAATGTTTAATTCATCATTATGCGAACTAATTGGAAGGTGATTATATGGTAATTGCTCATTAGTGGTGTATATTTATCGCTGTACCTTATGTCAAGGCCATGGGAATTGTGTAGAGTCTGTTCTCTCATTTCAAGATCAGTTTCAGGAGCCGGCTGGATCAAGTGGGTTCCTCCCCCACCTACCCACCCACCCCGGCCAGCATCTTGACGTCAGGTCCAGCCAAGTGCAATAGAGAGCGGAGCTATAAATATTAGCCGGTTTTCCCTCGCCGGGAGGGGAATAAAAACAAGGAGGGCTGCATGTGGGGATGGTCAGAGGAGGAGGAGGAGGAGGAGGAGGAGGAGGAGGAGGAGGAGGAGGAGAATAGCGGGTGCTGATCCCCACGGTAACTGCTTCCCCAAAGGCATTTTAGGGGAAGTAAGAACCCTGAATCCTGGCTATTTGCCAGCGTGGGGAAGGGAGGAAATAGGGGAAATTTAAAAAACATCAGCCATGCGATTGCTAGGCTAATCTTTCCCCAGCCACTGGGGTGCAGCAGATTAGGGACATGAATGCAGCTTTCATGAGGCACTGGGAAATTAGGCAGCAATTTAATCTGATATTTTGAACAATATTTAAAGCCGGGTTGGGAGAGAAGAAAATGCTTGTCCCATGCCTGAGGGAGGGGGACAGTGACCAGGTGTGGCGGGATGGGACTGAGTGTCTCACCTTGTCTTGTAGTAGGAGATGCTTGCACGAGGCAAAAACTATGAATGTTCCAGTGACGCAATCAACTTTTTCACAGCGATAAGGATAAATCCAGGGAGCCGAGAAAGATTCGCATTTTGTGGGAACTTTGCTTTTGGGAGCTGTCAGGTTCCCATCACTGGATGAGGCCGAAGTCCGTCCTATTTAGAGATTTAGATTTATAGAATCTTTGGGCCCTGTAGTTGAGAGCCTGAGAAATGGCAAAATACTAAAAAGTGGTGGGAAGAAGCCGAGCCCGACCATGGCTAATTTTTTCTTAATTGGGGGTACCAGGTAAGTTGTCTTTTCCAAGGGATTCCTTCGCCCCCGTGTTCAGCTGTGCATCTGCAGTGGGTACGCTGCAAGAGATGCCCAAAGAGCCTTTTCCAAAGAGCTTGGAAAAGAAAAGGCTTTTGTGAGCTCCTGGGTCAACCAGGCACCTGCCAGCAGATTAAATTCCGGCAAGAGGCGTCAAATGACAGTCTCTTGACACTCTTCCCTCTCCAAGAAAGGGTAGATTTTTCCAAGGTAGCGGGCAGGACCCAGGTAAGGCGAACAGCCTCGTTTTGAATAGCCAAGCCTGGACACGTGTCTTCGGAAAGGCGGGCGCGTCCCTTTTTTCCTCTTATTGTCATTTCCCCTCCCAGCTGGGTAGTCCGCTTCTTTAAAGGTGGGAAGATCCCTCCTACTCTCACAAACTTTTTTTTTTTTTTTTTACTTTTACACAGCGGCTATGTTCACACAACCTGCTTAACCAAGTCAGATTAAGAACCAGCAGATGATGATGATGATGATGATGATGATGATGATGATGATGATGGTGATGATTTTATACCAACGGCCATTTAGGTAGGCTTCTTTCAGGGAGTTGAAAGGTGTATGAATCTATCTCCTTTCCGTCATCAAATGTCGAACCCAGAAAATGGATTAATTTAATAACCAGATTAATCCAATGTGTGAGTACAAAGCCTTCCCGTCTTCGTGAATTTCCCTAAAAACAATGTGAAGTTTCTGAAAGATGCCCTAATTTAGTTCAAAAGAAATCTGAAGAAAACTGCTTTTGGCCTGTATTCTCTGAGAATGTGGGCAATCCTAACCCCAGACAGTTTTAAACTGAGTAACTAAGTAGAATTTCCCTAGTTTGGTCTTCTACTTTTGAGAAGACATCTACAAGGTCATGCTGTTGTTTTCACCACAAAGGTGAAGTCCTTAAGATGTCTAACAATATTATCAGCCTGATGTCAAGACTTCGGAGCATTTTATTCCTGCTGTGACAATCCTCTTATGCGCTTGGGTTTACCGGATGCATGGATCCAGTCTTCCAAAAAGACAAATGCTAATTTCTTGAGCATTATTTACCTGCAAGCTGGCCCTGTTTCCCTTTTCTCCCCCAACTTCCTCCGTCCCTCCCTTCCAAAAAAACCCTCCATCCTCCAAAATGAAATTGGCAGAAGAGAACGCACAAAGCTAAATTCTGAGTAGATTTATAGCAACCTCTCCTAATGTGGGGCCCTTCAAGTTACTTGGGCTAAAGTTCCCCAAGTTTCAAGTCCGGATGACCTCAACTTCTGAATCAGCGGCTCTTGGCTTTGATTTAGGCTTGGAAAAGGCTGCTCAGACTTCAGTTCACTGATCTGAAAGAGGCTGAAGAAGTTGAGGCGGAATTGTTCCTGCCATCCTCCAGGCTATCCATTCACATCAAAGCCAAGGAGGAAAGGAGTGACTAGTCCACTCCAGCACCAACTCCATTGATCTCACGGGACTAGACTTCCTGGAGCTTTGAATACTCGGAGGAGAGAGAGAGACCCTCTCCATCGGGATTTGCTCCTGAACAATCTAAGGGGAGAATTTGTTCATTGGAAATAGTTAAAGGGGAAAAGAGAGGAGGTCTAAGCAGCCCCTCTCAAACGTATGTGAAGTCTACGTTCCCTGGCCCGAGCGCGATCACAAAAGCCTAAAAAAAATCAAAGCCAAGCGCCGCTGATTAATCAGGGGTCTCGCTTCCAGCGCTGCTTTCCCCCACCGCACCCCGCCCCGCACCCCAGGGCTGTGAGCGTCCCATTAGGATAAGCCCGACCTGGCTCAAGGTTACCCTTTGGGGTCACTAGGACCTCTAAACTGCGACGTCCGAGGCACAGCGGGGCTATTTGGAAAAGTAAATCAATTGATACATTATTATCTCCGTCAGGAAAGAGAAGCAGCAGTTTGGGCTGGCCCAGGCGGCTAAATCGGTGAGTTGCGCGCTGCTTCTGTGTCCTTTCGGCAGCGCAGAGTTCAGCAGCTTTCCGCCAAGCGTAGAAGGGACGGATTAATGCCTGAGAGAGGTATTGGCACTGTAAACTCTCGCTACAAGTTTCCTGCGCCCTTCGAGTGCTCAGTTTCTTGGGAAGAGGAGCTCCGTCGGCGAAAACGGGCTAAGCATTGAGGCGTTGGGAAAGTCTTTCCACCCCATGGAGGAGAATCCAGACCCAAAGCACTACCAAACACCAGCTTTGCCATCATCATCAGCATAACTTTGGAAGGGGAGGAAACGATAATGGTGACTACAGTAATGATTTGACATAGTACTGTAACACCAAGCTGAGCTATCAAGGCGGCTCTCTTGCCTAAATTGGCCTCCCTTCACATTAGTAGATTATAAATCCTATTAGTGCCCTCTACTAAGGACCATTTAGGAGACAGGCCTTGCTCTTCAGCAGGAGACCACGGCAGTATTCTGAATGTTGTTGTACAAAAGGGATTTATATCTAGGGAAATCCGTTTGAGTTTCACGACCTTACTCCCGAGTTAGGCTGCTGCCTAATTCAAACGGGGCTCATCTCAGCCGCTAATCTTTGTCCATATTTCAAATCCTGTCCTAGAGGCAGCCTCATTACTTACATGTACGAAATTCCTAGTAGGCCGAGAATGGTATGGCTGAAAAGAAATCAATCAATCTCAATCTCAATCTCAATCTCTCTCACTCATTCACTCACTCACTCTCTGTCTCTCTCTCTCACACACACACACACACAATATTTAAGGGGCTCGACGGAGTCGACTCCGAAGGCGACCTCTCAAAGTTTCTACCGTTTTTCCAAGCAAAGTTTATATTCCCTACCTCATTTATTAAGGACAAGGAGGGCAGGCAGGAATGGTCCTGACTGCTTTGGACACATTGACGTGAAAGTAAGTTTTGGGGTGGGGGGGGGTTGGAAAGGCAGAACTGCTGCTTCTAAAGAAGGCCCGTGAGCCTCCGTTTAGAACCTACG